AGTGAGTGAGTGAGTGAGTGAGTGAGTGAGTGAGTGAGTGAGTGAGTGAGTGAGTGAGTGAGTGAGTGAGTGAGTGAGTGAGTGAGTGAGTGAGTGAGTGAGTGAGTGAGTGAGTGAGTGAGTGAGTGAGTGAGTGAGTGAGTGAGTGAGTGAGTGAGTGAGCGAGCGGAGTAAGTGAGTCGTTCAGTCACTCAGTGTGAGGGTGAGGTAATCACTAATGTTCGGTATTAGTCCTCATCCGTAACATTACACAAAGCAACGGACGTAACTGCACTGAATCCACGTTCTAACAGCAGATTAAAGGTAGATGCAGTGCGAGCAACGTTCCCTAGACACGTCAAATGACGGACATCCCGCCCGTGATACTGGGCAGATATATTAAGCTATTAAACGCGCAATTCAGCTAGACGTATCCGGCTAAAGGAAAACATATTGCCTGCAGACTCACATATATCCATTATTGAATTCACAAGCTGCGGCAGGAAACGAACTGCCAACGCTACGCTATCTTTCCATATATGGTTTCATGGTGTTGCAGTCACTCACAAACGGTTACCGACTAGCGAATAAATTAAGCTAAGTTAAGCTGAGTTGAATTAATCATTGCTTAACATTGTGCGCAAATTTCCTCTGTAATCCACGCAGACATGCACCCGTTGCCTAAACCTTGTGTCTGAGCTCTATCTCCCTTGTCTCTTTCCTGCTCCCCTTTCCTTCCGAATGGCCACAAAGAGGCCACGGGCGATATTTGAGGCGTGCTTAGCTCAAAACAAAAAGACCCCCTCTCACTGTCTGTTTTTCTTCCGTCTCGACCTCCCGTCCATATATTCTTTCTCCCGCAAATATGTTATATTTGCAAATATGAATATACTCGCAATATATATTGCAATATATATTACAATATACTCGCAATTATATCGCAATATATATTACTCGAATATATATTGCAAATATGAATATATTCGCAAATATGAATTTACTATACATGACCTATATATCTCAGATAGAAATGCAAATGGTAGAACAAACAATATACCACAACATCGCTGCTGTCCCTAGTTCCAACGCCACCGAATGCAAGCAATGCAAAGATTCCGCAGCCGCGATGCCACGATGCCACGACAAGGAACCCCATACGGGTTGTACAAATTAACCATTACTGAAAGCCGCTCCAACAGTTGCACGAACATTACAGATTATGAAGACCTAGAATGTAACGGACGTTCTTAGATTCGCTTTCTTAGTTTGCCTCGCATCTATGTTGCATCGCTATCAGCATATACGCTGTCGCGACGCGAACTGACATGATCTGATACTATACTAACGAGCTCTGTCGGTAAATCATTATCTTGTAAAACTGTCGTTCCCGTTTTCTCAATAGGAGGAACAGGAAACGATCCGCTAACGCGTCTGTTTTTCTGCTTTAATAAATGTGTTGTTAAGAGTGTCTATCGACCCCCCGGCGAGAGAAGCAGCTGCATTCCGGTTGTATACTTTACTAGGGTGGCACGTTAAGTTAATGAAAATGGCAGTTGGATTGCAAAGAATGCATAACAGAACGGCTGTTAACCACTCGGATATTAATTGTAGCTCACGTTGGCGTCGGCGACCAGGGCAAAACGCGACACGGCAATTCAGACGCAGTGGACTAATGGTATAGTGCGCGTGGGATTGAGTGGCCATACTCGCCCACACATATGGAATTTCATTAAAAGCATTGCTAATAACAAGGCACGTGTGTAATCACACGTGTGTGTGTGGGGGGGGCGTGCGTGCGTGTGTGTGTGTGTGTGTGTGTGTGTGTGTGTGTGTGTGTGTGTGTGTGTGTGGTGTGTGTGTGTGTGTGTGTCGTGTGTCGTGTGTCGTGTGTGTGTGTGCGTGCGTGTGTGTGTGT